TGGGCGAGCGACGCTGCCGGTGCAAGAGAAGGCGCCGGCGGCACCCGGCAACGGGACCGGGGACGCTGGTTCGGGCGTCCCTCTGTCGCATCCTTCGGGAGGAGGCGACTTCGATGGAAGTAGCAGCGGCAGCAGCAGTAGCAGCGACCNTTTGATCCCGCCGACAGCCGCTACCCGCCGGGCCGCGAAGGGCGTCGGCTCCTCTGGGGCGCCTCGAAGGAAGGACCGCTGCGCCACGGGCTCGAGCGCGGCCGCACACGAAGGGAGACCCGGGAGCTGCAAGGCCCCGAGGAGCCGCCGGGTCCAGACGCCGAGCCAGACGCCGAGCAAGCGCTGCTGGCGGAGATCATCGTGGACTACGTTTCCAACTCGCTGGTGCCGGAGCGGTACGACGAGGAGCAGGTCAACATCGAGTACCGGCGTGAGATGCATGAGCTGCCGTATGGCACCGAGCTGCAGGAAGAGGCGTTCGGTGCAGAGGCAGGGGACAACGGGTCATCGCAACCTCTTCATGACCCGCAGCTAAGTATCCCCTCGCCCTTCGGCCAGAAGCCAAGTGATGTAGAGTGCGTGCCCTTGACGTACAAGGATGTCCTTAACTCCAAGTACAAGGTGCTGTGGGAAGCAGCCATAGCAAAGGAGTTCGACGGCCACAAGAAGACGGGGACGTTCTCCGAGATTAGCGGTCTGCCCGAGGGGCGTAAGGCCATCAGTGCGAAGTGGATTTTCTCGCACAAGACCAATGAGAAGGGGCTGATTGTTGACTTCAAAGCACGTATGGTTGCGCGTGGTTTTTCTCAGATTCCCGGTGTGGATTTTCACCACTCATCATCCGCATGCCCTTCCGCGGTGTCCATCAAAACTATGGTGGCCGTATCCACCGAGAATGGTAGGAGGCCTGTCCACTGGGACATTAAGCAGGCGTACACACACGCCAAGCTGAAGGAAGAAATCTACCTGAGGCTTCCAGACGGTTGTGGTGTTTGGACTGGCAAGGCGGTGAAAGTCGAGCGTGCTCTGTATGGACTCAAGCAGAGTGGGCGCGAGTGGGGGTTTGAGGCTGCCGATGCCCTGATCTCAAACGGCTACGAGCAGTGCAGGGTGGACCCCTGCATTTTCCGCAAGGTGGTTGACGGAGAAGTCGTAGGTCTCATTGTGATCTACGTGGATGACATCATGTTGTGCGCGACCGAGGAGGAGCGTGAAGAGTTGCTAGCGTCTCTCCAGAAGGGATTCCCTGTGAAGGATCTAGGAGATTGCACCTGGTACGATGGGTGTGCCATTGAGGTGGACCTTGAGAATGGTACCACCAAGCTGTCCCAGACGGCTTATATCGAGAGCATGCTCAACCGCTTCAATGTCACGACCACTGCTCCCACGCCCGCTGTCGTCGACGATGACCTAGGGCCGAAGAGAGACGACGAGTCCTCGGTGGACAAGCCCGTGAGGGAAGCGATCGGATGCCTGATGTGGTTGCTGTTCACGAGGCCGGACATCGCGCTGCCTTTGAACAAGCTGCAGAAGATCGCCCACTCACCCACCGAGAGGATGTGGAACGCGCTTGTGCGGATCATGTCCTACCTCAACGAGACGAAGGACCTCGGGATCACCTACGTCCGCGGATCAGGGCTAGACCTAGACGTGTTCGTCGATTCTAGTTACGCCGACAGCACCGTTGACAGGCGTTCGACGACGGGGCTAGCCGTGACTGTAGGTGGGACCGTAGTGTGCGCATTCATGAAGACACAGCCAGTGACGGCTCAGTCGACCACGGAGGCAGAGTATGTTGCAGCCGGGGAGGGCGTGAAGGAAGCGTTGTTCGTGCGTGGTGTTCTGTCGTTCATTGCGCCCGAGACGAGCGGTGCCACGATCAGGGTCCGTGAGGACAACGAGGGGGCTCTCGCGTTGGTGCAGAACCCTTTCAGCTCGGCGAGGAGCAAGCATATCGACGTGCGGTTCCACTTCATCCGCGAGCTCTTCAAGGTGGGCAAGATCACCGCAGATTATGTCTCGACAGAAGAGCAGCACGCCGATATGCTGACCAAGGTCCTTGGTAGGGGCAAGTTGGAGTACCACCGGAAGGCTCTGATGAACCTGCCGATGTAGGGTTCTGGTCTCGTTTTCGTGGCGTTTGTTTTGTTTTGTTCTAGCACTGGGCGCGTCTCGGACCATGGTATGTCACGCAGGAAGCGTTGGGCAGGGGCGTCACCCGCGGCGGGAGCTTAGGGTTTTTGACCAATTGCTTCGGGTGTGTAATCAGCGTGGCCTGTCCAATCTGTCCTGCCTTGGTCCTGCCCTGATAGTGCGGCCGTTGGAATCCTTTGTGATAGCGACGGTTTCTTTTATGTTTTGAGTTTGTAGGCGAGGGTTTTTGATCCGGATGGCCGAGTTTTTCCCTTGCACCCGTTGTTGTATGAGTAACTTAAGTAGATCTGGAGTATCCATGCCCCACTGATGGTTTGTCAATAGCTTGACGAACCGGGGAGGGTGTTCGTGTGTCTGGATACGAGCATGGTAGATCTGCTAGCAGCACGGGGGGGTACGTAGACAGGAGCATGCGTATGCCTGAAAAAGGCTACTATGTGTGGGCCCCCTTCCCCGAATTCGGGAGGGCCACGTCTTCCCTTCCTTTCCTCGCTCCCGCGGGTGCCTAATCAGAGAGAGTTAACGCGTGTCTTCTCCTCCCAAGTACGAACATACTAACAGAAATGGCACAGACAGGAGGCGGAAGCGTCCGCGAGGCGCCAGCGCGCGAGGGAAGCAGACGCAGAGAGTACGGCCTCAGGACCGAAGAGAAAAGGAGCCGGGGAAGCGACGGTGGGGGGGATGAAACGGCGACCGGGCACTGCTGTAGAAGCGAGTAGGGCGGCCGAGGCANGCCCAATTGCTTCGGGTGTGTAATCAGTGTGGCCTATCCAATCTGTCCTGCCTTGGTCCTGCCCTGATAGTGCGGCCGTTGGAATCCTTTGTGATAGCGACGGTTTCTTTTATGCTTTGAGTTTGTAGGCGAGGGTTTTTTGATCCGGATGGCCGAGTTTTTCCCTTGCACCCGTTGTTGTATGAGTAACTTAAGTAGATCTGGAGTATCCATGCCCCAATACTTGACGAACCGGGGAGGGTGTTCGTGTGTCTGGATACGAGCATGGTANCGGTTTCTTTTATGCTTTGAGTTTGTAGGCGAGGGTTTTTTGATCCGGATGGCCGAGTTATTCCCTTGCACCCGTTGTTGTATGAGTAACTTAAGTAGATCTGGAGTATCCATGCCCCAATACTTGACGAACCGGGGAGGGTGTTCGTGTGTCTGGATACGAGCATGGTAGATCTGCTAGCTGCACGGGGGGGTACGTAGACAGGAGCATGCGTATGCCTGAAAAAGGCTACTATGTGTGGGCCCCCTTCCCCGAATTCGGGAGGGCCACGTCTTCCCTTCCTTTCCTCGCTCCCGCGGGTGCCTAATCAGAGAGAGTTAACGCGTGTCTTCTCCTCCCAAGTACGAACATACTAACAGAAATGGCACAGACAGGAGGCGGAAGCGTCCGCGAGGCGCCAGCGCGCGAGGGAAGCAGACGCAGAGAGTACGGCCTCAGGACCGAAGAGAAAAGGAGCCGGGGAAGCGACGGTGGGGGGGATGAAACGGCGACCGGGCACTGCTGTAGAAGCGAGTAGGGCGGCCGAGGCAGCACTTGTGGCAACTATGTACCCGGCTGATGTTGTTGCGCCCTGTTTCTCTCCCTGCTGTATGCTATACTCCTTTATGTATGTCCTTTGTATTGCCTTCGACCTCTGTCTGTGCTGTGTTATTGTCTTCTTTTTTTCATGACCTCCCTGCCTACTCTGCTGTGTTGGGCACCGTGATACAACAACAACAACAACAACATTCTGTGGTAGTCAAACTACGGAGTTATGTGTCGCATTTGTCTGCAGTGGTTCCTGTGTGGCCTTTGTGGTGTCTTATGCCTGTCCTACCGCAACCAATCATGTCACAGTCTTGTCGGGTGAGCCTGGGTATCTTAACGTTGTGATGGGCTCATTGTTGATGTGTATGACGCACGTCGTGTGCCACGGGTAATTATCCCCGATTATTGCTCGTTATGCTCATGGAGGTCCTCGGGGCGGGAAATGTGTGCGCGTCAGCAGCAGTGTCACGCAGGGCTCTCCCGGCTTCTACTTCCCGATGGCCCTTTGTGCCGCAGACCACAGCCTTACGCCTACATATGGAGCTTCGTGGACACACACCCTGTTTCAACCGCTGTTCACCGTTCGGCCTGGGCGTACACACCCAGCAGTTCATGTGGTCATGACTATAATGTCCCGTGCGAACTACCGCCCTAACTTCAACGACGCGCCTGGTTGGCGGGACCGGAACGGCGGTGTTCTGCCGGAGCTCAACCACTCTGTGTCGTTGTCCTCCGACACTGCCGCCGGAGCGCATGCCCTAGCCGTTGCTGCCTTTGCCGATATGGTTACAGCCGCGCGTGAGAGCTTGGAAAAAGCGAAAACCGCAGTGGCACAAGCTGAAGAGGCGCCGGATCTGCAGGAGACTCTNGGACCGGAACGGCGGTGTTCTGCCGGAGCTCAACCACTCTGTGTCGTTGTCCTCCGACACTGCCGCCGGAGCGCATGCCCTAGCCGTTGCTGCCTTTGCCGATATGGTTACAGCCGCGCGTGAGAGCTTGGAAAAAGCGAAAACCGCAGTGGCACAAGCTGAAGAGGCGCCGGATCTGCAGGAGACTCTTGTCGCCGACATGAGGATCGCTTTGAGGGAGGTACGAAGAAGGCTTCCATGCCGTTGGTGTATTTGTCTCTGCTGTTGTGGGTGGCACTGCTTCCACTTTTGCGAGACACCTGTCCACTCCATCGCGTGCACGCTTGTTGACCTTAAGGCGTTTGTCCCTCCGTGCACCTCCAGACTCGCGACATGTTGAAGATGCACGAAGACGACCACGCACTTTTCACAGGCGCCTACATCGTGAGTTGACTACCCGTTCGTGTGTGATCGAATCCAAGTCTCCATAATTGCCAAATCCTTGGCCTAGTTTCTGGCGGCTAAGTTTGGTTGTGGGCTTAGTCATGTGTCGTCTAGTACTGTAGCTATGCATAGCTCCCATGATCAGCACGGCTTCTTGCCACCGATCGAGGAAACTTGGAGCGTTTGTTTGTCCAAACAGAACTCCCGATGACAACCATGTGCGGCCGCCATCAGGTCCCATTGGCTTCAACAGGGGCGGCGGCTAACGCCGAACAGGAAGTCCACAACAAATGCTTGGTGAGACCCTGGTTTTCGATGCAGCAGACATTGAGGATAACGTCGCTATGTTGCCGCGCAGGGGCCGAGATTCCATCCTACCTTTTGACCTTTGGAAGAAGCAGAAAGCGAGGAATTCGTGGCCACTAAAAATGCAAGTGGAGTTCTCAATCACTCGCGTGCGTGGTCATGTTCGTGCCTTCCTCACAATCATCCTAAGGACGAAGAGTCCGTGGAGCGGAAGCGGAGGGAAGAGGCGTCTGAGGCCGAGGCGCGCTCCCGAAGGCGGAAACAACAACAGGGGGCGGCGGACGGCGGGAAGAAGGGAGAGGGTGGGGGTTCTGGAGTGGGTAGTGGGGGCAGGCTAGCCGGCAGCGACCACGACAAGCACAAGCCTGGCGAAACGGGTGGAAGCCAACAAAGTTGGGGTGGTGGAGATGGCACTGGACATGGACAAGACACCATGGACCACGAGAAGGGCAGGAACGGTGGAACATGCGGCCCAGAGGAACCGCGTGGAGGAACCGGCAAGGGTGTCGACGACGTGTCCGAGGGGGGCAAACGGCAGGCAACCAAGGACGGGCTTTCAACGGGTGCGCCGGCAGGGGACTGCGGCGGGGCAACGGATATGGAGATCCGTGAACTACGAAGGAAATCTCATGGGTTTCAGCGGCTCGCACTCGCTCGAGAGGGGAGGGTGAGTGGAAGGTTCATCAGTGCCCCCCCGCTACNGGAGTGGATGAGGGGTCGGAGCCCGGGGAGGGCAGGGAGGGCAGGAAGTCAGATGGGCAGAAAAGGTCGGGGCGTGAAAAGGAAACAGCGAAGGGGAGCAGCAGGAAGGGCGGGCGTTTTACCGACGATGAGGATCTGGACGGGAAATCGAGCGGAGGTCAACGAGGCAACGACAAAAAGGTGAGACAGGCTTGCCACGGTCACCAACTTTGACTGGCAAGTGATGGAGGCACATGGTAATGCCGCTGCGATGCCGTATGATACACCCATTGTCATCCGAGCGCACTTGTTTCGACGCAAGGGGGAGGGGGAATGCTGTCGACTATTGTTGATGGCTTTGTGGTTGTGTCCATTTCCCCGCTTTGTTGGTGTGCAGAGGAAAAGGTGGGCGACCCTGATGAAGACGAGGATGCCGACGATCTTGCCTCCGATTATGAAGAACTTGCCTCCGACTATGAAGACGACCACGATTATGAAGACGACCGCGATGACGAAGCCGACAGCGAAGACGACCGCGATGATGAAGACGACCAACAAGGCGGGATCAAGAAGGTGATCAAGAAGGTAAGCTGCGCTTGCGGCGGCCCGAACGCTTGCACTCGGAATGGACTAGGCAATACCAGTCCCGGCAACGTATTTGGTCGACTTGAGGTCTCTGAGCTTCGTCTGAGCTTGTGATTGGACTGCGCAATCTCGCGGCCCTTTGATGCGTGGTGTATGCGGGAGCAGGAATGTGCCAGGGGTAAGAGCAAGGGCAAAGGGGCGGATAGTGAAACGGACGAAGACACGGACGAGGAAACTGGGCTGTGGGGGGACGTAGATGGCGGAGGAATTGCGCACCTTGGCCACGCATTCGACGTGAAGGAGTCAGCCTACGACACGTTGGAGGCCACATTCATTCGCCACGGTCATCGGGGAGCTCGAAGAAGAAGGGCATCTAACCCTNCAAGAAGGTGATCAAGAAGGTAAGCTGCGCTTGCGGCGGCCCGAACGCTTGCACTCGGAATGGACTAGGCAATACCAGTCCCGGCAACGTATTTGGTCGACTTGAGGTCTCTGAGCTTCGTCTGAGCTTGTGATTGGACTGCGCAATCTCGCGGCCCTTTGATGCGTGGTGTATGCGGGAGCAGGAATGTGCCAGGGGTAAGAGCAAGGGCAAAGGGGCGGATAGTGAAACGGACGAAGACACGGACGAGGAAACTGGGCTGTGGGGGGACGTAGATGGCGGAGGAATTGCGCACCTTGGCCACGCATTCGACGTGAAGGAGTCAGCCTACGACACGTTGGAGGCCACATTCATTCGCCACGGTCATCGGGGAGCTCGAAGAAGAAGGGCATCTAACCCTTCAAAAGAAGAGGCGCAAGTTGGTGAGTTGAACAGATCTGGTGTTCGACTGCACGGCGGTTCATTGTATAGCCGAGGGAAGCCACGATGTCACGTCTTCACTCTGAAACGAGCTTGTGGAATCATTCGCGTTTCAACCTACGTTTACCAATGCGTTCCCAATGAATTTGTTTTGCCTTCCGGCCTATGTGTCCGCAGACCACCGACAAGAGCAGGCACTACCTCTGCGAAATCGTCTGCAAACACTCGGGGGTGGCGCGTGGGTGTGCGCCCCAAGTGGGGAAGCAGAAGAGGATGCGGAAGAGTAACATGGTNTCGACTGCACGGCGGTTCATTGTATAGCCGAGGGAAGCCACGATGTCACGTCTTCACTCTGAAACGAGCTTGTGGAATCATTCGCGTTTCAACCTACGTTTACCAATGCGTTCCCAATGAATTTGTTTTGCCTTCCGGCCTATGTGTCCGCAGACCACCGACAAGAGCAGGCACTACCTCTGCGAAATCGTCTGCAAACACTCGGGGGTGGCGCGTGGGTGTGCGCCCCAAGTGGGGAAGCAGAAGAGGATGCGGAAGAGTAACATGGTGCGTAACATAGTCTGAGGCTGTTCATGTTCAGAGCCGGAGTTCGCTGCGAGATTTTCGGGGGAGAGTGCGTCGGCCCCCTTTCAACACGCATCGCGGGATATCCACATCTCTTGCGACGCATGTCCTGTGACTGTTCGTGGTGCAGATCAAGTGCCCCTTTCAAGATCCACATGACGTGGCGAGTTGGGGTGACTAATCCCACCATAACGACTGTGAGGATGGGAACTCGGGGAAGCCTATGTGCTCGTATCGTACCTCGCCCTAATTTGCTGCCGCTGTAACGGCTACGCGACCTATATGGGGTACCTGTCTTCGTGGTTGACGTGTTTTCTTCTTCGGGAAATTGTCGCCGTTCTTTTATAGTTCTTGTATTGTCGTTGATTCGTTTCGTTTCATTTTTTGTGGTGTCGTCATCCGTTACTCCGTGTTTTTGTCCTCCAACGAGTTATTTCTTTCGCCGTATTTTCTTTTTTTCTTTTGATGTGACCGTCGTTCGTTCGACATGCTCGTGTGCATGCCAAGCGAGTGCCTCTCTGCGTATCCAAATACCAACCCTCACGCCACACGACATATCTACTTGGGCCGTGCGTGATGATGACAAGCCTCGTCGCTGCCGTCAGGAAATCCCGTTTTCCCTGTCCCGACGGGCGTTGTTGCCGGCCTTGACTTTCACGGTGCCTTTTTTGCCGTTTTTGGGGCGGTTCTTGTGCATTTAACGTTCGTTTTTGATCTGATCGTGCGCGCTGGTCCTTCTGCAAGCACAACTACAATCCCCGGGAGAGCGTCTCAAGAGCCCAGGCTAAAGTCCTGCCGACCACAGTGGTCGACGAGAGATTCGATGACGTCCGCAAGTGGACGGCGGCTGGCGTCAAACCCACGGACATGTTCAAACTGCTGGAAATGGACAACGACGGTTTGTGCTTGGCAAAAGACGGGAAGAAGGTGATAGATTAGCACGAGGTTTGCTGGCGGGCGCTGCGCACGGTCCGTTGCTGCAGTCGTCCAAAGCCCGAATGGGGAAGGGGGGGTGGGGGGGTTGGCGGGTTCGAGGGCGAGGAAATGTCTTAGCCGTGCTTGGCGATCATGGGGTGTGTATGTCTGACAGGTAGAATCGCCCCCGATCACAAAAATCGCGCGAAACCGAACCTAAGCTATTCTGTTTCATTACGACGTGGGTGTTAGATGTCGGTTGATAATTGGCCGACTTCCTGCACATTCCGAACGTTTTCCGAACCCTCCAAGGTGTATAACGCCATTTGGATTTTCCGCAGGGGCTTTTAATTCTTTCATCACCAACAAATGCTTCGAATTCGGGAACACCAACAAAGTACCCTGGGAAACCAACCGCTTCAACTCATCCAAGTCGACATCTACCCCTTCCGGAATATCTCCCTCCTTCATTCNGGGGGGGTTGGCGGGTTCGAGGGCGAGGAAATGTCTTAGCCGTGCTTGGCGATCATGGGGTGTGTATGTCTGACAGGTAGAATCGCCCCCGATCACAAAAATCGCGCGAAACCGAACCTAAGCTATTCTGTTTCATTACGACGTGGGTGTTAGATGTCGGTTGATAATTGGCCGACTTCCTGCACATTCCGAACGTTTTCCGAACCCTNCACCAACAAATGCTTCGAATTTGGCAACACCAACAAAGTACCCTGGGAAACCAACCGCTTCAACTCATCCAAGTCGACGTCTACCCCTTCCGGAATGTCTCCCTCCTTCATTCTCTTTGGATCAGCGTGCCCTTCAATTGCCGTAATTGCTAATCGCGCCGTGTCCTCTTCCTCCTGAATATCTGCCCAATCACTAGCCGTCTTATCGCATAATTTTTCCCCAATTCAATTGCCGCTTGCGTCTGTTCATCATACTCTTGCAACGGAATTTGAGGCAACGGAGGTGCTGCCGGACCCCTGCCCCCGGAATCCCTTCCCCTACCACCACCAGCAGCCCCTCTTCCTCGAGCCGCACGACCTCGACCCCGTCCACGCGCAACAGCCCTGCTACTACGAGCACAACTGCCACCCCCACCACCAGTAACAGTCCCACTCCCACGAGCGATACTACTACTACCACCATCACCTCCGGAGGCACTGCCCCCTCCTTGAGAAATAGCATAAACTCGCGATTTTTCCACCAATCCCAACAAGCGTCTGCCAACTTCCGTTAAAGGAACCGCATGCAATATCAGCCCTGGCTCAAACTGACCACTGACTACTTCCCCACTTGGTTCCACCAACCGGGTGTCATCAGGCACACACGCACCATCAGGCAATGGGTTAGACACGCCATTTCCCCTTTGGATCAGCGCCCACGTCTTGTCTGCCAGTTCGTCCGTAGTGAGGCTTGCCGGTGTACAGCCACTTTCCCCCACCACAAAATCATCGCGATGTTTCGACCCAGCGAGCGCCTCTCGCTCGGTATGCACCGGACCCAATCGCGAAGGTAGCACCCCGCTCGCACCTATCATATAAACATCGAGATCAGACGGATCAGTCAGCCTAACATCTGGTGCCTCATCCTTTTTCGTCGCAGGTAATGGCAACCGTGACATCAAATCGGCATTTGCATTCTCTCGCCCTCGTCGATACTTCAGTTCATACGTGTACGCTGACAGGAGGTCATACCACCTCTGTACGCGATTGTTTTTCTCTGCCAAACTCCCCAAATTTCGCAAGGGTTGATGGTCACTGTACACTTCAAAGGGGATGCCATAATATAGTGTTCGATTCTTCTTAATCGCCCACACTATCGCACCCGCTTCAAGCTCAGTCGGACTTCATCTGGTTTCATTCGGGAATGTTGATCTGCTCAAAAAGCATAGCGGTCTTTTACTCCCATCTCGTTGCTCTTGCTCAGTTACGGCTCCCAAGCCCGAAATCGACGCATCAGCGGTTAACCGAAACGGCCGCTCTCCCGAGATCGCACCCTCATAACACGGAAATGCCAATTCCTCAGCACCAGACAGAATATCCATCATCTTCCTCACCACCGCCACATGATCAGACGTGAACGCAAACTTTGCTCCCTTTTTCAGCATCGCATTGATCGGTTTCAGTTTTGCCGACATGTTCTTCGGGAATTTGCGATAGTACGACAAAGACCCCAACAACGATCGTAGCTGGCTNATTCCTCAGCACCAGACAGAATATCCATCATCTTCCTCACCACCGCCACATGATCAGACGTGAACGCAAACTTTGCTCCCTTTTTCAGCATCGCATTGATCGGTTTCAGTTTTGCCGACATGTTCTTCGGGAATTTGCGATAGTACGACAAAGACCCCAACAACGATCGTAGCTGGCTAACATTAGTGGGCATTGGCACTTCACGCAGCGGTCTGACCTTTCCCGGGTCCGGCCCGATCCCTTCCGCCGCGACTTGATGCCCCAAGAACGTCACCACCTTCACCCCCAGGTGCGTCTTCTTGGGTGCCAGTTTCAGGTTGAACTTGACCATACGCTCGAAAAACCTTTCCAGGTCGCGCACGTGTTCTGCCCCGTCCCTAGTTTGTCAATGTTTTCCGGCTCCCACAGTTTCGCATTGAAGTCGAAATGGACGTCTCGAATGTGCGGAGGCACCCTTTGCCACAACCGTCTGAACGCCCCCTTTCTTGTACAAACGACGCCGGACTTCCCGTATCCAACAGAGCCTCCCACGACATCAGCTTAGTCGCTCTCGACCCCGCGAACACTTGAACTCTAGTCGTATGCCGATGTCGATCCATCGTCAAATCCCCACCGACCGACCGAGTATATGGTGACAGGTAGTCCGCCGCTTCACC